ATTGCGCAAGTCTCTGAGTTTTTGCAGAACTGCGCCCCCTCTGGTGACAAGCGAAACTGCAACCAGAGGTGTGCATGCGCTTACACACGCTTACACGAGCTGTTCATAACCAAAGGAGCGTCAGCCGCACACATCTTTTGTCCAGTCATAATGTCTCCAGAGGTAATACATTTTATAAATCTGCAAGTCATTTTAAATGTATGAATCCATATATTTAAATATGGATTCATCTCTTTGAAACCATCTTCTACTTTTGTCGATAGTTGACTAAAGGTTTGTCGCTTGAGTCTTCGCTGATACGGAGAATGGCGCCGAATACACAAACCTGCATGACATCGCCAGGCGAACGTGAACGCGCATGACGTCACGCCCACACTGTAAAAAAATATTGATGGTTTACCTTAAATAAAGTAAGTAACCTGGTTGCCTTAAAATTTTAAGTTCATTGAACTGGAAAAAGTGAGTTAATACAATGAAGGAGATTAATTTAACCATCAGAAACTCAAAATTATATGTTATCTGAACTAAATAAATTATTTAAGTTGATTTGACAAAAGAAAAATGTTGTGATTACTACACTGTAAAAAAATATTGTTGGTTTAACTCAAAAAAGTAAGTAACCTGATTGACTTAAAATTTTAAGTTGATTAAACTGGAAAAAGTGAGTTAATACAATGAAGTAGATTAAATTAACCATCAGAAACTCAAACTAATAAGTTAGCTCAACTAAATAAATTATTATAAAGTTGATTTGACAAAAGAAAATATGTTGTGATGGCAAATCTTGAAAATATTTTTTACAGTGCAATCACAAATCCGTCCCGAATCCCTCTTATTTATTTTACTGTACAGGATTATAGAGGCAATCGCAGTGATCAGAGAACGGCTCTTTCAGCACATCAGGCGATTGTTTAAGTTATGTATAGGTTAGAAAAACGGCTATTTTTAACATGAAATGTTGCGCAATGCACCTTTAAAGTTCAATTAAATCACTCATCTTTAATAAAACATGGTAATTATGCAGCATATCATGCTTAATAAGTACTGAGATGATGACACTAACAGAGCTTTCTCTACTTGGTTTCATTTCATTTACACGGAGGCAAAGCTGGAGTCTGTCGCCTCATCCGTGGTTTGACCCCAATACAGAACAAACAGGAATATGTGAGGCTGGCCTTAAGAAGGAGGGAATATATGTGTTTTAGTCATCATAATAGGTTTATACGTGCTGTAAAAACCTAAACCACCCTTTGATAGCGAGTAAGTAATTTGCAAGGAAGTAGATGGACATGTTTTAGTGCGAGGCCAGTCATTATTTCTGAACGCCAATGGCTTTTACGCCTCATTTAGGTGACGTGTATTTAACTTGACATATTGTTTCGGTTAACATAATGACAGTGTGTGTATAAAATGTATTTAAAATGATTCTAAGCGTACGAAATCCAGGCATTGAAATGAATAGCAGCAGCTGGAAAAGGTTTGAGGATGGGAATGATTTTGTTCCCGAAAACAAACTCTCTCTTTCTTGCTCCCTTTGTTTTTTCTTCCTCTTTCGGCCTACTTTTTGTGAGGCTCGCTCACAGTCTGAGGGTTAGATCACGGGGAAGTCTATCTTTATAAAGTCTTGTTTATATATAACACATGTATTTATATCTCTGTAAACAATGAAAGCTCTGTACAGTCTCCGATAAGAGTGTCTTCATAACACACAGCTCTCTCTGAGCAACTGCAGCCTGTTTCGAGTGTTAGATTTCACTTCTGAGTTGTTAAATTCACAGTAGATGAAAGGTGAACAGACAGATGAGGGTTCGAGTGAGTCGACATTAAAAATGTACTTGGAGAAGAAAGAGAAGAGAAGAGAAAATCACCACAGTGTGAACTGAAGTTCTTGGCTGGGTTAACTAAACCTCAGTGTGTGTGTGTGTGCATTATGGGGACCAAATATCCTCACAAAAATAGCAATATCCGAAATCCTTGTTCCTGTGGGGACATTTTTTTTGAGCTTATAAATCTTATTAAGTGAGGTTTTATTTGGTTTTTTTATTGTAAAAATGCTGAAAGTTTTCTCTGATGGTTCGGTTCAGGGTTAGTATAAAAAATAGTATAAAAATAGTATAAAAAATCATTATGTCTATGGAAAGTCCCTATAAAACCAGGAAACGCAATGGTTTGTTTTGTTTTGAAATGAAGCAGGCCCATTAATCTGTGTGTATGTGCGCTCATATTGTCACAAACCTCACCCTGAATAATAGGAAAACTAAACAAAAGGATGTTTTGGGTAATTGGTTGGCTGTTTCTAGAGTGTTTTAGGCTATGTTTACACGGAAAGATTCTGAAGAGAAAACGCAAAAGTGATGTTGCGTCATCACTTTTTATTCTACATTTAGACGAGCGTTTTGTGTGGGAAATCCGTGTGCAAATGGTGACGCAAAAGTGTGTGAAATTCAATGTAGTATGCACTTCAGGCGGCTAGGAGTGCATACTACAACAGAGTTGTAGTACTCGAGACTCGGACTCGTCTCGGACTCGGTCTCGAGACCATATTTTAATGGTCTTGGTCTTGTCATGGACTCGTGTGCATTTGGACTCGGAATTGACTCGTAAAAATATTTTTCATGATTATTAATGTATGTTAATAAAATATTTCTTTAAATTGATTGACACGCCCAGTGATTGGTGATTTTCTAGTGCACAACTGCGCATGACAAATTGTAATAAAATTACTTTTAACACCACCTACTATGTGGCCTTTTTACCCTAAACTGATCATATTTTTTAAAGTCTAAGTAAATTCAGTAAAAAAAAAAAAAAAAAAAAGATTTTTCTAAGTAAATTAGGTAATCAACCGTCTCTGGTCTCGGACTCGACTCGGACTCGACCGTCTCTGGTCTCGGACTCGACTCGGACTCGACCGTCTCTGGTCTCAGACTCGACTCTCTATGGACTCGGTCTTGACTCGGACTCGACTCTCTCTGGTCTTGGTGTCGACTCGGACTCGAGTGAGGTGGTCTCGACTACAACACTGTACTACAACAACACCAAGTCCATGCGCCTGCGTACAATCTTCACTGTCAAGCAGACTTTTAGTTTTTACCGTTTACACGGGAACGCGGCGGTGGAGCGTTTTTAAGATTTCCACTCTGGAGGGTGGTTTCACTTTTTTGCGTTTTTAAGCCTCAAAAACACCGTCGCCGTGTAAACGAAAGGCACATCCGATAAAATATTTTTACGTTTTCACCCACGAGGGTTCTCATGTAAACAGAGCCTTAGTATGTTTAAATACTGTCAAAAGATGTATGTAAGATGAGTGATGGATTCAGGCTGTGAACGGACCGAGACAATAGAGTTGCCATTACCGTTCAAATTGCGCGAATTGAAAATGCGCCCAATGGAAATACGTCAATTTTGCACAAATTGTAAATGAGTTTTTCCGCTCGCATGAGGAGGTTTTTCAGGCAATTTGGAGAAGAAACATTTCATTAAAGTGTAATGGAAACAGGTTTTGCGCATTTACACTCGCCTGACGTAGATTCATTCATTAGGCCGTGTGTCCACCAAAGCGTTTTTCCACGCACCTGGTGTATGTTTTCAATGGTTTTCAATGGGAGCGCCGCGGTTTTTAAACGCCATGAGCGTAACGAGGCGCTGAATGTTTTTTTCACGCTAAAGCGCCGAGTGCCGGGGTTTTATACTGGTCGCCGAGAGTTGAAAAATGTTCAACTTTGGGTAAAACGCAGCGCTCATCACTGTCACTTTTTACCCAGCCGTCCAATCACAGTGGAGGAGAGGCGGGACTAATACCACACTGACCAACTGTCACAACATTCTGTACAACGACATCAACCAGCAGAGCTAACCGAACAACGTGGATAAAAAATATTTTTTAGTATGAAACAAAATATGTGCGAAGTCAGTTACAAGTAAACTGTGCTGCGGATATTCTGTATCATAGCAACGAAGCGTCTCAACGGAAAAAAACGCTTGAGAGCGTTTTTGGCAGCGCATCCTTTCAACTTTTACTGGCGACCAGTAAAAAACGCCGGGCGCTTCAGCGTGAAAAAAAACGCTCATGGCGTTCAAAAAACATGGCGCTCCCATTGAAAACAATTGAAAACATTCGCCAGGCGCATGGAAACACGCTTTGGTGGACACACGGCCTTAAAGACAAAGGAATAGAGTGCCGAAGTGATGACGTCACTTTGTAGGACTACTCGGAAGCTAGCGGCGCATGGGTTCCCTCGATCGAAAGGTTATGCATTTTTCCCATATACTTTTAGAAAATCCCCCAAAAATAAGATCTGTGTTTAACAAAGAGTTGTGACCCTTACACGTTTTGTCTATCAAGATAATCTTTACAAGTTAATCCAAAATTTATACATTTTGAAGCCTATAAAGTTTTTAAAAAACACAAGCAGGTTATAACTGGTGTGTTTTATGTCATAGATCAAAACGTGAAAATATTTAGACCTTATTTCAGGCGATTTAGCAAAAATCCATTCAAAAATCCCCTAGACTTTAGAGCGAGGGAAGCGGGAGTGCTTAAAATGCTAACTCACTTCCGCGTTTTGGCCTACAGAGTGACGTCGTAACTTCGGCACTCTATTACAGGAATACTAAACAACAAAATCAAGACCTTTGGAGCAGAAATGAGGAGAATCACAGATAAATATGAGCCACTCTCAGTATACGGGTCTTTCCTTGCCATTAATGCTTGCATAACACACACACACACACGTGTGTCATCCATTCGTAGTAATAATGTCTAGTGCGGTGGCTCTGATATATATAAACATACCAACGTCCGTTGCCATGATTTTTGGTATGACTTGTCGTGGGAGGAAAAAATTACGTTTTAGTCACATTAGGAAAAAAAACGCAAATCTGTAATGTAAATCTGGTTCTTGAGACTCCTTGAGCTCAGTCTGTATGAATGTTTTTGTGCTTGTATTATATCCAGTTGTTTCTCTGTCTGAATCTTCTGTTTTCTTGATTCTCTGCAGACGAGGGATGACTTCCTCGGACAAGTGGATGTTCCTCTACACCAGATCCCTGTGAGGATTTACTATCATTTTATTTTGTGTTTTAAACTATTTTTAATGCATGTTTTTCGTTGAAGCTCCTCACTTATAGTGTCATTAGGTTAAATCTAGGTGTTATTTTTAGAAGGTCGACCTCACACATCTTCAGAAACACATTAACATTTATTAATTTAGCTGACGCTTTTATCCAAAGCGACTTACAATTGCTATAAATGTCAGAGGTCGCACGCCTCTGGAGACACTAGGGGCTCAGGGACACATTGGTGTCTCACAGTGGATTCGAACCCGGGTCTCTCACACCAAAGGCATGTGTCTTATCCACCACCCCATGACATCGTAAAATAAACCATCTGGTTTTGTAACGGTTCAGTTGCAACTCATTATTAGTCACTGTGTGAACATTAAACTCTCCCGCTCTATAAATGTGTGTGTGTGTGATATAAACATTAACATTTATAAATATCAGCACTGATTATATGTGTCACAGTCCTCCGTCTGCACCAGTCTGTCTTGTCTTCAGCACTACACTTCCCAGGATCCTCTCGTCACCCTATCCAGTGTTCACTCCCTCATCAGCCACCTGTTCCTCGTCATCGTCATCTGTTTCACCTGTCTTCACCTCATTATGTTTGATTCTTCTGTGTATTTAGTTCCTTCTGTTTTAGTCAGTCCTGGTCGGTCGATGTTGTATGTAACCCGGAGATTCCCTGTCCTCCTACCTGTATGTTTGATTAAAATAAGTATCTTCATGTTAATCCGGACTCCTCCTATTCCTTCTGCCTGCACCCCTGTACTCCACCACCTCACACCGTGACAGATCGACCGACCTCCAAACATGGATTTACCAGCTGTACAGCTTCTCCTCCTGAAGCAGGAGGATCAATCCCTCGAGGCCCACACACAGAGGTATTTGGATTTGGTACCTCAGGTTCACTATGATGATACCAGCCTCTGTGTGTTCTTCCGGGCAGGCTTAAATGCTGAAACCCAGGCACGCCTGCCCGGAGAGGGGCCTCGAGGGGACTTTGTGGCCTATGTGGAGTGGGTGCTGGTGTCATGTGGATCTCCCTTTACCATGTATGACGTCACCAGCCCCACTCCATCGCTCGAGTGCTCTTCACCGCTGGTTCCGTCCAGCTCTCCAGAGATTGAATGCTCTTCGCCGCTGGGTTCGTCCAGCCCTCCAGAGACTGTATGCTCTTCACAGCTGGTTCCGTCCAGCCCTCCAGAGACTGTATGCTCTTCACTGCTGGTTCCGTCCAGCCCTCCAGAGTCTGTATGCTCTTCACAGCTGGTTCCGTCCAGCCCTCCAGAGACTGTGTGCTCTTCATTGCTGGTTCCGTCCAGCCCTCCAGAGACTGTATGCTCTTCACAGCTGGTTCCGTCCAGCCCTCCAGAGACTGTATGCTCTTCACAGCTGGTTCCGTCCAGCCCTCCAGAGACTGTGTGCTTTTCATTGCTGGTTCCGTCCAGCCCTCCAGAGACTGTATGCTCTTCATTGCTGGTTCCGTCCAGCCCTCCAGAGACTGTATGCTCTTCACAGCTGGTTCCGTCCAGCCCTCCAGAGACTGTATGCTCTTCACAGCTGGTTCCGTCCAGCCCTCCAGAGACTGTATGCTCTTCACAGCTGGTTCCGTCCAGCCCTCCAGAGACTGTATGCTCTTCACTGCTGGTTCCGTCCAGCCCTCCAGAGTCTGTATGCTCTTCACTGCTGGTTCCGTCCAGCCCTCCAGAGACTGTATGCTCTTCACTGCTGGTTCCGTCCAGCTCTCCAGAGACCGTCCAGCCTGCGCCAGAGACCGTCCAGCCTGCGCCAGAGACCGTCCAGCCTGCGCCAGAGACCGTCCAGCCAGCGCCAGAGACCGTCCAGCCAGCGCCAGAGACCGTCCAGCCTGCGCCAGAGACCGTCCAGCCTGCGCCAGAGACCGTCCAGCCTGCGCCAGAGACCGTCCAGCCAGCGCCAGAGACCGTCCAGCCAGCGCCGGAGACCGTCCAGCCAGCGCCGGAGACCGTCCAGCCAGCGCCGGAGACCGTCCAGCCAGCGCCAGAGACCGTCCAGCCGGCGCCAGAGACCAGGATCCCACCCAGCCTCCCTCGCCCGCCTCCTCTCATCTGTCCTTGCTCTGCTCTCCTGCCCTTCAGCTCCCTTAAACCAGCCTGGTCCTTGGATCCCCGGTCTTCGCCTCACACCTCCTCCTCAGAGACACTTCCTCGGCCCTCTGTCCCATCAGCTTCCCCGTGGCTCCTACCTCCCTCAGCTCCTCCATGGCCCCTCAGTCCACCAGCTCGACCAGGCTCCCTCGACCCTCCGGACTCCCTTCGTTCCCTCGTCATCCTCCCTTCACCTTTGGACTTCCTTCCCTTTGCTCCGCACCGTCAGGTCACCCCCCCGGTTCTGTCGGACTCCTCACTCCCTCCAGTCACCCGTCAGCCCTCACTCCCTCTGGCCTCACCGTGTCCCTCTGTGCCCCTGTCGTCACTTCTGTCACCTGAGCCTACGGTGTCCCCATGGTCCCTCGGTCCCTCGTCAGCACCCAAAGTCGTCTGTCCCTCTGCTTCACCCTGGTCTCCTCTACCATCTGCTCCGCCCCTGTCTGTCGGCCCCCTGGTGTTGTCAGCCCCGCTTCCATCGGCTCCACCAGGGGTCCTCCCTCCATCTGCTCCGCCCTGGTCTCACCCTCCATCTGCTCCGCCTTGGTCTCGCCCTCAGCCTGCTCCGCCCTGGTCTCGCCCTCCATCTGCTCCGCCTTGGTCTCGCCCTCAGCCTGCTCCGCCCTGGTTTCGCCCTCCATCTGCTCCGCCTTGGTCTCGCCCTCAGCCTGCTCCGCCCTGGCCACGCCCTCAGCCTGCTCCGCCCTGGCCACGCCCTCAGCCTGCTCCGCCCTGGCCACGTCCTCAGCCTGCTCCGCCCTGGCCACACCCCTCTCAGGCCCCAGTTCGTCCCCCCTCCTTCCTCTGTTCTGCGGCGTGAGGTCACGCCTCCCGGGAGGGGGGAGTTCTGTCACAGTCCTCCGTCTGCACCAGTCTGTCTTGTCTTCAGCACTACACTTCCCAGGATCCTCTCGTCACCCTATCCAGTGTTCACTCCCTCATCAGCCACCTGTTCCTCGTCATCGTCATCTGTTTCACCTGTCTTCACCTCATTATGTTTGATTCTTCTGTGTATTTAGTTCCTTCTGTTTTAGTCAGTCCTGGTCGGTCGATGTTGTATGTAACCCGGAGATTCCCTGTCCTCCTACCTGTATGTTTGATTAAAATAAGTATCTTCATGTTAATCCGGACTCCTCCTATTCCTTCTGCCTGCACCCCTGTACTCCACCACCTCACACCGTGACAATATGTAAATATAACAGCTAAAAATAAAAAAAACAACTACTGATACTAATTCTGTTACAATATTTCAATATTTCGATTTTTTTTTTTTTTTTTAATGTGTGTATCCACAGACAGAAAATCCGAACAACGAAAGGCCGTACACTTTCAAGGACTTCCTGTTGCACCCGAGAAGGTTAGCAGGAGATTTTTAACACCCGCATGCTTTATTTCCCAAACATTGATGGTTTTTAGTGTAACGTTCACTGACTTCAGTCTGTACATTGTTGTGATAGGCCCTTTGACCTGCTATGACATCATGTAACTGTGCACTGTTTTCATTTGAAACATGTACACATCAACACCGGCGTTGATACACTTCAATGGAATCAATATATTTCCTGATACTATGATAAGTTTTGTTGATGTATGTGTTTTAATACAGTCACAAGTCGAGGGTGAAAGGTCATCTGCGACTGAAGATGACTTACCTGCCCAAAAACAGCGATGCGGAGGACGACCCTGCTGAACTCACCGAGAATATAGATGTAATAATGCACACACAAACACAAGCTTTGCTAACAAACACATTGTAATAATTGTAGAGTTTTACAATGTTCTTCAATAGAACTAAAAAAAATGTGGAATTGAGCAGTGAGATAAAGGGCCGTGCTATCATCAAATATCTTCAGATAAAGGAAACTCTATTGATTCACAATTTAGCGCAGCAGTGTGTGTATATGTACACAGTACATTAAAGGAGTAGTTCACTTTAAAAAAAAAAACTTTTGCTGATAATTTACTCGCCCCCATGTCATCCAAGATGTCCATGTCTTTCTTTCCTCAGTCGAAAACAAATTAAGGTTTTTGATGTAAACACATTCCAGGATTTTATCCATATAATGGACTTCAATGGGAACCAAACGGTTCAAGGTCCAAATGAGAGTTTCAGTGCAGCTTCAAAGGGCTTATCAAAGGGTCAAAGGGTTTTATCAAGGACCCTTCGAGTCATGACTCGAAATAAGATTTGTTCATTTTGATGAACAAGTTTGAACAGGAGAGTCACTGAACTTGAGCTTATAAAACTTAAACTTTTTTATTTTTGAAATGAGTGATTGTTTCGCTGGATAAGACCCTTATTCATCGTCTGGTGTCGTTTAAAGCCCTTTGAAGCTGCACTGAAACTCTCATTTGGACCTTGAACCGTTTGGTTCCCATTGAAGTCCATTATATGGAGAAAAATCCTGGAATGTTTTTATCAAAAACCTTAATTTCTTTTCGACTGAAAAAAGAAAGACATGGACATCTTGGATGACACGGGGGCGAGTAAATTATCAGCAAAAGTTTTTTTAAAAGTGAACTACTCCTTTAATGCATTCCTTCATCTTTAAATGTGACTCATCTGTTTAAACTTTAAAGGAAGTCTCATTACTGATGTAGTTTACAGCAGGATGGAGAGATCATGTAAACATTTCTAATGCCTTGATCTGATATCCGCTATCTAAAGTGCTTTCTTTCCTCAAGCACAATTCTGCCTTATTCCACTTTTCAGACTTGTTTTTTGACCTTGAGCTGGGGGTTTCTTAACAGAACCACAGATAGACAGACTTTGGCCTTGAAGGGACAGTCAGGAATTATGGTTGTGGGAAATTGTTGTACCTTTAACATTTGTGGATGTTGTATTTATTTGCATTTGATTCAGTTTTTGAATTTAATATGTTATTTAGTCAAAAATCACTGTTACAATTGTTTGATTTTTTTTTTTTAGGTTTCTTTAGATATTAAGGGCAGGACTTACTTATTTTTATGTAATTTAATTATATTTTATTTTATTTTGGTACTTTTACTGAGAAAACATGAGTTCATGTTAAGATCTCAGGATTGTTTAAAAAAATGACTTATTGTTTTTTTATTTTTGTTTTTGCCGCTTTTACTGAGAAACAAGAACATTCATAAGATCATGTAAAGATATTACCTATTTTATTTTATTTTTGTATTTTTACCGAGAAACAAGAGATCATGTTAAGTGACCTAATTTAAAATATGGCTCAGCCCCCCCCCCCAAAAAAAATAATATGTGTGTGTGTGTGTGTGTATATATATATATATATATATATATTATTTATTTATTTTTTTTATAAAAAAAGCCTGAACCATATTTTAAATGAGGTCACTATAAAACCATTCAGAAAACCTTAGCAATCAAGTCTTTAGCCACTGCCTTCAACATCTAAACCATGAGCTCTTGTTCTTGTTGTTTTAAAACCCTGTAAGCGTTCTCTCCTGCACCATGCATGATCTTTCTTTGAACTAGCATTGAATGTCATCGAGTTTGCAAACAAAAGAAACAGCCTTCGGCAAACTAAAGACATTTGTTTGTGCTCAAACACGTGAGTTATATTTATGCACAATAACTTTATTCTAGAACCAGCAGAGTCACTGTGTTCTTTTCCAGCACGTTCTGTAATGTGCGAGGGCCGTGTTGATCCTGGTGTCGGGTGTGTTCACATCGCACGAGAAATACAGGCGCGATTCCAGACGTCCAAAACACTAGATTAAATAGAGCTTAGCCATTCCTGGATTCACAGGAATGAAATGTGTGTGTCATAAATTCACTTGGCATGAAAAGCAGTTAAATGGCTGATAACAAAGGCCTGGCCAAAATGATCACACAAACAGAGGGTTTCCGTGTAAGAAAAGTAACAGCTCAATGTTTTAAAAGGGTCATATAATGTCCTTTTCTTAAGATGTAAAATAAGTCTCTGATGTCCCCAGAGTGTGTCTGTGAAGTCTCAGCTCAAAATACCCCACAGATATTTTTATAGAGCATGTTAAAATTGTCACTTTTTGGGGGTGAGGAAAAAGCACCTATTTCGTGTCTGTCCCTTTAAATGCAAATGAAAGGTGTGCTATCCTGTAGTCATTGTTTTGCATATTCTGTCATGATAATCTATAAAATGTCCCCATGGGCTGGGTTTATGTAAATTTTAGGTTTTGTGATGTCACTTACCCGGGAAGGAATGTCATGTAGTCCCTACCAGTCGTTTGTTGTAGTCCTTAAAAATCTCCATTTGTTTTGAACTTTAAGTGTGGTAACTTTGCAGATGTTGTTTATGCTCAAACGGCAACATTACACACTAACTATAGTTAGAAAAGTGAAATCATAATTAACCACCCCTTTAATACTCTGGTCATTTCCGTCTTGTAGCCTGGCTGGGAGTTTTTGGAGCCTCATGAATTATGCAGTCCTCATCACCCGCATCAGCTGCCTGCGCTGCCCCCTGGCTGGGAGGAGCGGCAGGACAACCTGGGGCGAACTTACTACGTCAACCACGAGAGCAGGACCACACAGTGGCACAGACCCACCATCCAGTAATTATCGCCTCCCTAAGCACACACACAAACATGCATACACAAGCCCACTGCTCAATGTAAATATTTGCATTTGTCTTTGACGCTTATTCATTTGGCATATGGTTTCAATCACTTTGACTCGACCCCATGACCTTGCTGTCGCTGTCGCAGTGATGTTTGACCATCTGAATTATAATTTACTTAGATATTGTTAAATTAGTTTTTAGTACATCAAATATTGCGCAAAAGGCCATGTTAAGATTTTACATTTAAAAAGGTCAGTATTTATTTTACTTTATTTTTATAGTATTTTTTATTTTTTTATTTTATTAGTACATCAAGCTTACATTTTGAATTTGTTTTTTATTTATTTTTTTATTTAAAAAACATTTTTTTTTGTATTGTTTTATTTTATTTGGTTTTATTTTATTTATTTATATACATCTTGCCTTTTGACTAAGAAACAAAAGGCCGATAAGATTTTAAATTAAAAAAGTTCAATTTATATTTTGTTTCTTTTTAGTATTTTTATTCAGATTTATTTAGAGTCAGACAGACAAATAGACAGACGCACTGAAATATATACATAGTTTAGAGACAGACAGAATTAATATTAGTACTCTAAATATGCATTTTGCAATTGACTTTGTTTTATATATTTTTATTTAGTTTATTTATTTATTTTTTAAGTGCATCAAATATACATTCTCTACTTTGACTGAGAAAAAGCCATGTTGAGATTTTACATCTGAAATCTCCGACCTCTGCTCTCGGCTGGTCAGCGGCGTCCTCACCTGCTTTATTTGAGTCTTTCTGGGTCATTTTGAGCGCTGAAGTGTGTGTTTTGTCCTGATTTACAGGGACACTCAAAGAGACAATGAACAGAGACAGGATACACACAACGAGTCCCAGCGGGCGTTCCTCACACGCAGACAAATATCCGAACATGACGAGAACCACGAGCGCAGAGAGTCACCTGAGGTACTCACACACACACACACACTTCGGTGACTTCTTCCGAACACATGGACAAACAACATTCACATCTGTCTGTGTGTGTTTTGTAGAGCTGGGAGATCATAACGGCAGATGAGTCCACGTTATACAGCCTGAGCGAGCGCTCGCCACCGCCCCCTCACTCCCCGATGGAGTTCACGGGATTCTGTGAGGAGTTCAGCCGACTGCAGCCAGGAAACGACAGACGCACTTCCCTCACGGTCAGTCCACACACACACACACGTCACAAATTCTTTGGCAAGTAAAAAAAATGCTTGCTTGGGTTGGGTTAAATTCTTTAGATAGTAATTATCAGCTGAATATCTGTTCAAAAGATTTTTAAATCATTTTAGGTTGAGTCAACTAGGTGACTGCAGCACGTTTAGAGTATACAGAACCAGAAATAAACTAATTTAAGTTTTGTATTTCTTATTTTGAGTTGTACTATTGTGTGACACAAGAGTCAATGCAAGTAGTCCATTGATTAAATCCATCAACACACAGTAATTACATTTATTATATTACAAAATATTTGGATTTCAAATAAACAGTTCTGTTTATCAAAGAATCACGAAAAAAAATGGATAATAATCAGAAATGTTTCTTGAGCAGCAAATCATCATATTAGAGTGATTTCTGAAGGATCATGTGACACTGAAGACTGGAGTAATGATGATCACAGGAATAAATTACACTATTTAAACAGAAAACAGATGTTTTAAATTAGAATAATTCTTCCAAAATATTATAATTTTTTCTGTAACTTCTTTCAAAAACATTTATAAAATCATACTGACCCCAAAACTTTTGAATGATAGTGTGACACAGGCAATTCAAATCAAACTAATGCTAACTAAATACTTAAAGCAACACTAAGTAAGATTTTTTTGTTTTTGTTTTATCTTAAAATAATGTTTCCAAAATCGTTTCAGTGGTTCATTAGGTCGTGACAGGGTGAAAGGCACTTGTGGATCCTATATCCGCTATAACCACGCTATGTCGCGTTTCTGTAGTTCTAATGAGACATAAGAAAACTACAAATTTGACTTGCGTTACAACAGTCATTTTTTTGTACGCAATACATCATAATTTCATGAAATCATGCAACATACTCGACCTTGTCTGTGGACATCGTTCATTCCAACGAGCTAAATTAGGCTAAATTATTTAGCACAGCGGTAATGAGCAATTCCACTTCCAACCTGTAGGGCGGCCGCATAGGAAAACTTACTTGGTGTTGCTTTATAGCAACTCACACATTTTTTTTACTTCTTACAATGTTTATTTAAGATGCCAAATATATATTAGTTGTCATATAAGGAATATTCCTCACATATTTGTATATTTAGTGAAACTGTTGTGTTTGTCCTCAGGCACAGGGTCACGGCAGCCGCAGAGGAAGCACACAGACCCTCACGGTGGAAGAGCATCCGGTTCACCCCGTGGTGAGAGCACTGAAACATGCATTTACATCCGTCGGGAACACTTTACCATCAGCTTCATTAGTTAACATTAGTTCATGTATTAACAAGGGCTGCACGATTATGACAAAAATCATATATTATCACAATTTACATTGAATGATGTTTTGAATAGCTTTATACCATTGTTTAAGCGACTGAAATCCATATTGTTAAAAACAACTTTTTATTGCTTTTCTATAGCATTAAGCCTCAAATGTCAAATATATATATTTTTTTATTTAAAGAAACCAAATCAAAGTAAAATATGCATGGTATTGTAATGTTATACTAAAATTAAAAAATTATTTGCATTTGTCTTTGACGTTTATGCATTTGGCATATGGTTTCAATCACTTTGACTCGACCCCATGACCTTGCTGTCGCTGTCGCAGTGATGTTTGACCATCTGAATTATAATTTACTTAATTTACTTTACTTAAATATTGTTAAATTAGTTTTTATTACATCAAATATTGCGCAAAAGGCCATGTTAAGATTTTACATTTAAAAAGGTCAGTATTTATTTTACTTTATTTTATATTTTAATTGTATTTCTTTCTTTTTTTAGTAGTACATCAAGCTTACATTTTGAATTTTTTTTTTATTATTTATTTAAAAAAAATATTTTAATTATTTTTTTTGTATTGTTTTATTTTATTTGGTTTATATATATTTTATTACGTCAAATATACATCTCATAATCATATATTATCACAATTTACATTGAATGATGTTTTGAATAGCTTTATACCATTGTTTAAGCGACTGAAATTGTAATCATGATTATAAATTTGATTAATTGTGCTGCCTTAGTATTAACTAATATGAGCTGACCATGAGCAATACATTTATTACTGTATTTATAACCCATCTTTGTCAATATTATATTACTAATGTCGACTAATGAACATTATTGTAAAGTGCTGCCTCTCCTTCCGAGCCCAGACCGAACTCTCGCCGTGCGCTCCAGTTTCAGCAGTGTTTTACTCAGTCTCCCAGCACATGATGTGTAATCTTAGATGGCCCAGATTTCCCAGCATGCCCTGAACCTCGCAGTACATCACTCATCTGCTCCCAGAGGACAGTGTGTTTGAGAGGCAAACTGCTAACTGATGGCTATTCATGAAACAAACGGACGATCTGTAATGGATTGTTTCCATTTTTGCTCTACATTTTCATTTATCCTTTTGTGTTCTTCCCTTTAGCTGTTACCCACCTCTTCCGGGCTGCCTCCGGGATGGGAGGAAAAGCAGGACAGTAAAGGGAGACTTTATTACGTCAACCACAACAGCAGAACCACGACCTGGACACGGCCGCTCATTCAGGTACGACTCCTTCCGGGTGGACCAGTTCTCGCTGTAGAGAAAGCTCCATCAACAATTTATGGGAAATAATGTTAAATGATAAATAATTGTGTTTTTTGTTGATAAAAATTGTAATTACTTTTTTTTTAACTACAGGTTTGATTTGCTTGTTTGTATGGCTGCACATTATGTGGCCCAAAAATTATGATTATATATGACTATAAAATAATAATAATAACAACAACAACAAATATATAATTTTTCTTATTATTATAAATATTAATACTATAAAACTAAACAATAATTTGGTAATAACAATTAAATCAACATTAAAAGTGAAAATAATTATAATTAATCATAATAATTATTATTGATATTAATACTAAATAAATATATTAAACAAAATAAGTAATATTTTACTTTGTAGAAAAATATAAAAGTATTTAAGAAAATGTATATAATAAGAAGAAGAAGACTATATTTATATATTTCACTTTAAAAGAAAAAATGTAGGTAATAATAAGAAGAAGACTATATTTATATTTACTATATTTAGACTATATATAAACTATATTTTACAGAACTAATTATGGTTGTCTAAAATTTGTATTTAATTAAATTTTTTTAATTGAAACACCAATTTTTATTTAATTTTATGTTTTGTTATTGTTGTTATTATTATTACTAAATACATTTTTTTAAACAAAATAAGATTAAAAAAAATGTACTAAATAAATTTTTTTTAATTTTTTTTTTTTCAGAAATTCTTCATTTGTAAATTTAAACCATCAATATTTTGATTGTGGGAGAAAACTGAAAACAGCCTGTTTATAAGTGCGTCTCATCACAATGCCACGCATTAAAAGCACCAGATCAATTTGCTTTGCGATTTCTGTCTAATTTCGATGAATTGTGTGGTGCTAATTTGTGACGTGATAATGCATAATATTTCTATCCTGAACTTTGACCTCTGTATTTCAGCTCATACAGCCTCCCAATGAGGTGGTGGGCGGGGCCATGTCTCTCTCCCAGAATGCCACAGGCTACGCTCCGCCCCTGCTCTCCCCGGAAGTGTCCCCGCAGCACACACACTCACACACACCGGAGCCCGTGGGCCTGATGCCGACCGGCTGGGAGGTGCGCAGCGCTCCGAACGGACGGGCCTTTTTCATAGACCACAACACGAAGACCACCTCATGGGTACGACAGACACAAACATAAACATTATATTACATGGCATTACTATATGACTATAATACGTGTTCATTGTTCCATACCATTGTTCATGCTGAAATGTACTTCCTGTGGTTGCCATCCTGTTTCCTGTTCCGTCACAGGACGACCCCCGGCTGAAGGTTCCCATGCAAATGAGGAGAGTCTCCCTCGACCCCACTGACCTCGGCCCACTGCCGGTACGATGGATGATGTCATCGCTGATGTCATAATCATAAAATGATTTTACTGATATGGTGTTCAGGACAGAGGTTAAAAAGGTGTGTGTGTGTGTGTGTGTGTGTGTGTGTCTTATAGCCTGGCTGGGAGGAGCGAGTACATAGTGACGGCAGAATCTTCTACATCGATCACAGTAAGTGGCACATTCATAACCACACCAGTCCAAAAAACCCACAATGTTGAACTTTTTCTTGGAATCTGGAACTGATGTGTGCAATTTTTTTAATGTGTGATTTTTTTTATTTTTTTATTTATTTATTTATTTATTTTATTATTATTATTATTATTATTTTAATTGTAAATTTTTTTATACAATATTTTACAAATATTTTAAATTATGTTTTTAAACTTATTTTTATTTAATTTATATATATATATATATATATATATATATATATATACTGTACTATTATATATTCATATTTAAAATTTTATTATTAAATATTTATTTAGTTACATTTTATTTACATTATTTAATATTTAAAAATGTTATATATTCATTTATAAAATTTTTATTATATATTCATTTAATTTTATACAATTTTTTTAAAAACTCTTTTATATTATGTTTTCAAACTTATTTTTATTTAATTTATATATATATACTGTACTATGATATATTCATATTCAAAATTGTATTATTCAATATTTATTTATTTACATTTTATTTACATTTATTTAATATTCAAAATATTTTTATATATATATATATATATATATTCATTTATAAAATTTCTATGATATATTCATTAAATTGTATACAATATTTTTTTTAAAGTAAAACTTGTTTTTATTTAATTTATAACTTTTCTATATACCATACTCTAATATACTCATATTTATCATTTTATTATTTGTTTATTTATTTTCAATTTACTCTAATATTTAAAAAAATATTTTATATTATATTTATAAAAATTTTTTTGAAATTGATACATTTTATAATTTCATTTATATTTGTATTTATACTCTCTTTTTACATTGTTGTTTATTTTATTTATACCAATTTTCATTTTATGCTACGTTTTTTTTTTTAGACACAAAAGTCACGCAGTGGGAAGATCCGAGACTGCAGAATTCAGCCATCACTGGTCCGGTAAGTGGTTTTCTGTTTCTGTTAATGTTCATGTACAGTCAGGCGTTGAAGACCGAGCCAATAGAAACGGATATTTAAGCCATTAATGGATCACATTGAGGCGGCTGCAGTGATATTCGCCATATCGTGTTTCTAAAAGTATTCTGAGCCTGAAACCCTGTACATGTCTTCCCATTCATTTCCTGTAAGGGGTTTGTGCGTGTCATGAGGGGAAGTTATATTTGTCGCGGTGGAGTTGAATGGTCTCTGTCGGATCAGGAACAGCAGATGAGAGCTGATGGATTATTGGCGAAGTGATTGTGTTCTGTTTTATTTCAGGCCGTGCCTTACTCCAGAGACTATAAACAGAAGTATGAATACTTCCGCAAGAAACTGAAGAAACCGGTACGTCACTGCCCTTCACATTCAGTCCATTACAGGCTTTCTCTGTCCCATTCGGGTCTCTGAGATCAAATCGGTTGAATGAATGACTCCCTCAACTTGCTTATTAAGACAGTGATTTACCTGTCTTATATTTTCATATTTAAAGTAAAATGTTAAAATTAGATTTCAATAAACAGTTCATTGTTTGTTAACCTTTTACCAAATGTCTTGGAGTATCACAATAATATTGTATTATGAGTTCAGTATCGTGATATGTATCGAATCGTGAAATGAGGGTATTGTTAAACCCCTAAGTGCTAATGTACTGTATATAATACTGTGTGGGCTGGAAAAAATTTTGTCGTCACCTAAAACCTTAAAAAAAGGATAAATGAATTTAAAAATGTAATAAAATCTGAATCAATCTTTCCTCCGGTCTCCAGGCAGACATCCCGAACCGCTTCGAGCTGAACGTGAGGCGTAACGCTCTCCTGGAGGACTCGTACCGCCGGATCCTGGCCGTCAAGCGCTCGGAGCTGCTGAAGGCCCGTCTCTGGGTGGAGTTCGAGGGGGAGAAGGGCCTCGACTACGGGGGCGTGGCCCGGGAATGGTTCTTCCTGATCTCCAAGGAAATGTTCAACCCTTATTATGGGCTGTTTGAGTATTCTGCCACGTGAGTGAAGGAACTTAACTGGCCCTTTAAATGCACCCTGTTCACATTTCCAGGATTCTCAGATTAAGTCGTCGTAGTTGGGTAAACTTGGGTAAGATAATATCATTTTGCGTTCCCATTTGCCACAATAGCAAAAGAAAAAACCCACAATAGTCAAGTCAAGTCAAGTCACATTTATTTATATAGCGCTTTTCACAATACAGATTGTATCAAAGCAGCTTCACAATGATAACATGAAAGTAGTACAACACAGATCAACAACATTGCTAAACACTAAATAACCCCAACTGAGCAAGCTCAAAGCAAGCCAAAAGCAAGGCGACAGTGGCAAGGAACCAAACTCCATCAGATTGGATGGAGAAAAAACCTTGGGAGAACTCAGGCTCAGTCGGGGGCCAGTTCTCCTCTGGCTTACATTCATATTGTTTAAATATAAATATTAAATATAAATATTGTTTATGAATCAAACGGCGCCATAACATATCGCAGGCGTTGAGTCGTCTCATCACAGGCGTTGGGGCATCCGAAATCCCCGTGAGAGGCTAGACACAAAACTGGACCTGACGAACGCCATTTTTCTCGGGACAAGCGTCCCGAGATAACAGCAGAAAGGCAGATGGGAAATAATTAGCATAGCTGATGTTCATAATGATTTCCGTTATTGTGTTTCCAATAGTGTTTCCACAACTTTTCACAACTTTCACAACAATAGTGTTTCCACAACTTTCAAAAAGGGGAATAATATTGAGAAATTGATTACGGTGGTCAGAAGAAAGAAACATGTCAAATTTGCCGTCTTCCCTCAGCCAGAAGCGTTGACTAGTTTTCTGAATTTAATGCTACAAAACGCAAAATATAGTGTTATAAATGCACATAATTTAGCTAGATTTACAATGTTAATAACTGTGGGAATGTGTCATCACAGTCACCACAGCGGTAAACATTTCTAGGAATATGGAACTTATATGCAAGTTTTTTATTTATTTATTATATAATATATATTTTTTAATTTTTCATTAAATTGTATATTTCATAATATATTTAATAATATATTTTACAAAATTGTTTATATTATTTTTTTTCTTTTAATTGTCATTTTTTTCATGTATATATATACTGTATATATATATATATATATATATATATATATATATATATATATATTAGGGCTGTCAAACGATTAATCGCGATTAATTGCATCCAAAATAAAAGTTTGTGTTTACATAATATATGTGGGTGCACTTTGTAGAATTATTTATAAATACACACACATGCTTGTATATATTTAAGAAATATTTTCATGTATATACTGTATTTAGATTTATATACTTTATATTATATATAAATATAAATATTTTATATATAAATAATATTTTTTTTCTTAATATACATGCATGTGAGTGTATTTATATATATATATATATATATATATATATACAAAATAATTATACACAGTGCACCCACATATATTATGTAAACACAAACTTTTGGATGCGATTAATCGCGATTAATCGTTTGACGGCCCTAATATATATATATATATATATATATATATATATATATATATATATATACTGTATATTATATACTCATTATATACTCAATATTTATAAACTTTATATAATATATCTTTTATTTATATATTTTTTATTTATGTGAAAAGTTTTTAAAAAGTGTGTGTGTGTGTGTATATATATATAAATAAAAAATATTTAAGTAAAAAATATATTATATAAAGTTGATAAAGTTGTTTTATATATGTATATATGAAGAGTTCAGATGCAAAAGCCTCTAAGTGCCATTTGAAATTTTCTTCTAGAATGATCATTTGTATCAAGCTTGTATATTTAAGTTCAGTGATTTCACTTAAATGGCAATGATAATTACCTATTAATTGTTATTTAAGTGAAATTACTGAACTTAAATATACAAGTTTGATAAAAAAATCATCATTAAAGAAGAAAATTTCAAATGGCATTTAGAGGCTTTTGCATCTGAACTCTTCATATATACTGTATATATATATATATATATATATATATATATATATATATATATATACTGTATTTATATATAAAATATATGTAATATATATGTTTAAAAAAAATTTATTTGTTATATATATATATAATATATATATATATATATATATATATAACAAATATATATATACCAATATATATATATATATATATATATAACAAATAAATATATATTTAGATATATATATATAACATATAAATATATATATATAATTTTTTTTTTTTACACAAAAACCATGTAGTAGAAAGACCTCTGTCTGTGAAAAGGGTCTTGTGTGTTGTGCATGGAAAAACCTTTTCAAACATGGCTTTTAAAGATGTGTCGTGTGAATGTTGCAGGGATAACTACACCCTGCAGATCAACCCCAACTCAGGTCTGTGTAACGAGGACCACCTGTCGTACTTCAAGTTCATCGGCCGGGTGGCTGGAATGGCCGTTTATCACGGGAAGCTTTTGGATGGTGAGTAACCTGTCAAGACCAATATAAATACCCACTACTCATATTCACAGTATTTGACGGTGGCTCTCGACATATTGTATGCATGCATGCAGATCGATCTAAATGTAGCAAAAATCTGTCATCATTTGCCTCATGTGGCTTATACATGTTTTTTTGCACTTGTCTGCACAGCATTCTTCATCCGGCCCTTCTACAAGATGATGTTGCAGAAGCCAATCACGTTACAGGATATGGAGTCAGTGGTGAGTTGAACCAATCAGCATCAATTCTTAACATCACTTTTGTCTTTTTTCAGAGATTACACCGGCTATAGCATATTGTCATTCCGATCTAGCATAAAGTACCTACAAGATAGCACACTACTTCTGTAGTGTGTATGTGCACAGTGAATATTATTAATTTATTATTATCTTTTTAGCATGGAGTACTTGAATGACCTACAGCATTTTCCAAATATTTCATTGTACATCTCAGATACTGTATCCCACAATGCAATGTGCTCAAATTGACATTTTAAATGAACACTTGTTGAATTAAATGTATGTTGTAATGTAAGGTGTATACTATACATAATAGTAGATGTGTGCCACTACAACAACATATTTATTTGTATTTAATTTATTTAGATTTATTATTATTTTTATATTATTTTTTTAAATATATATATATCAATTATGTTTTATTTATTTTTTATTTATGCATTCATTTTTTTGTGCATGTATTTTCTAATTTGTTTATCAGTTAAATAATATTTATTTGTATTGTATTTAATTATATTTATATTGTATTTTTAAGGAAATCCACACAATAAATGCATTTTTTTTTCACCCCTAGTGAAAGAAAACTACACCAAAATGTATTTAAAATAGATTTATTTCATACCAAGTACACTAGAAATCCATCAAAATATTTACTGACATATGATCGCTTGAGACTTACTGATACAAATATTATAATTAATCTTTATTTGGAGTACCTCTTTATTCCACAATGCACATTTCTTAATATTAAGCTTTCTTAAATATGTTTTAATATTACTATTCCAATGATCTCTGTATAATATCAGTCTTTAAATGCAAGTTTATATATAGTATACTTTCAATAGTTCCACTTGAGCACAATCAAATATATTAAGTATACTGTATCTTTAGTTGGACATCAGCACTATTTCCGGATTACTAAAGTGCATTAAGTACAAAATTAGCAGACTTTAAATGTACGTGTATCAGTTTAGTATACCAAAAGGAAGTCATAAAAGTTATATTTTAACTCGCTGTTACCACTAATGACGTGATTAATGTTCCATTGAAGTCATTCATGCCCTGTTATCAATCACTTGTCAACCATGATGTTTTTGGGTCATATTTAATTGTAGGACAACGAGTATTTTAATTCCCTGCGATGGATTTTGGAGAACGACCCCACAGAGCTGGACCTCCGGTTCGCCATCGACGAGGAGCTTTTTGGACAGGTAATTCCTCCATTGAACACCAAGAGCCGTCCGTGCGGCTTGTGCTTTATGTCCCAAGACTTCTGAAACCATACAAGTGTAAAAAGGATTTGATTGTAAATGTCTGATCTCTTGCGCAGACGCACCAGCGTGATCTGAAGCCAGGAGGTGCTGATATTGTCGTCAATGACACCAACAAAAAGGAGTATATTCAGTATGTTTTACCGCCCTCTAGTGGCACAGACAAACCTCAACGCATTTAACACTTCACATGTCAAGATATAATACAGTCTCCTCTGTTTATTTCCAGTCTGGTGATGCAGTGGAGGTTTGTAGATCGGATCCAGAGACAGATGACGGCCTTCAAGGAGGTACAGACGCTCGTTCGGTCAGTTCAGGTCACTGCCGCCCACCGAGACGTACACTGATTTATATCTGGATGTTTTATCTGCAGGGTTTCTACGAGCTGATCCCTCTGGACCTGATCAAGATCTTTGATGAAAACGAGCTGGAGGTGAGACGATGCGCTTTACAAACTTTATTCATCTGAGCTCTCCAAACCCTGACTGAGCTGTCTGTGCTCCTCAGCTGTTGATGTGTGGCTTAGGAGACGTGGACGTCAACGACTGGAGAGAAAACACCAAATATAAAAATGGCTACAACCCCAATCACCCCGCCATCGTCTGGTTCTGGAAGGTCAGGTTTGATTCCTGACATGTTTTTTCATCGTTAAAATAAAATCCTAGAAATTTTTGAGAGCTTTTTAGTGTTGAACTTGATTTAAATTAAAAACAAGATATTGATTATTGTGCCACATATATAAAAGTAATTAAATATAATTCAACTGAAAAACAAATAAATACATAATTGTTAAACAATTTATGTATTATTATTATTATTATTATTATGTTATTATTATTTAATTTTAATTTATTGTTTTTCAGTTTCATTTTATCTAAGCTGAAAAACAAATAAATAATATAATAAGCAATTGCTAAAAAATGTGATACAATTCTAAAATAACATTTATTTTAAAATATTATTTAATTTGTTTTTATTAAGATTTATTTGGATCTCATTTTTGTATATTATTCATTTAAACGTGTTTTATTTAATTTGATTACATTTTTTTTTTTTCATTTTTAGCAATTATTTATTTATTTATTATTATTATATTTGTAATGTTTTTTCATCATTGAAATCAAGTCATAGAAATATTTTAAGAAGTGTTCAATTAAGTTTTGATTTAAATTAAAAACAAGATAATGATTATTGTGCCACGTATATATAAAAGTAATTGCCTTTAAATATAATTAAACTGAAAAACAAATAAATACATAATTGCTAAACAATACTATTATTATATTATTTAATTGTTTTTGTTTCATTTTATTTAACCTGAAAAACAAACAAATAATATAATAAGTAATAAGTAAGCTTAAAATGTGATACAATTCTAAAATAAAATGTATTTTAAAAATATTATTTTATTTGTTTTTATTAAGATTTATTTGGATCTCATTTTTGTATATTATTAATTTAAATGTGTATATCCATTATATGTTTTTTTTAATTTGATTAAATTTTTTTGTTTTAATTTGATTTAATTTTTAGCAATTATTTATTTATTTATTATTATGATATGTGTAATGTTTTTTTCAGTTTAATTATATTTAAAGGAAAATACTAAAAAAATTTTTTGTTTTTTTAAAGTTCAAAAAAGCATGGTGTTTCCAGTCTGAGTAATCAGGAAATAATCGAAATCTCAATATTGATCAGTAATAATCATGATTCAGACATTTTACCATGATATAAGCTATAATGATGTTTACCGTGACTAATAGTGCCTGGGCATAGCATGTACCTAAAACCCCCTTTAACATGGTCAAATCACTGTAATGCACAGCTTTGCCTGCTTCAATATCATGACAGTAACCTCACTATTATGACAAAATTTCTTATAACACAATGTACAGGTGAAACTCGAAACATTAGAATATCGTGCAAAAGTTCATTTATTTCAACTTAAAAGGTGAAACTAATATATTATATAGACTCATTACATGCAAAGTGAGATATTTCAAGCCTAATAATAATTTCCACAGCTTATGAAAACCCCAAATATATAGAATATTGTAAAACGGTTTTATCAAGGTGTAAACCATAATCATCAAAATTATAACAAATAAAGGCTTGAAATATCTCACTTTGCATGTAATGAGTCTATATCACCTTTAAAGTTTACTGAACTAAATGAACTCTTGGACCTGTATTGGTGGGTTTTAACGCAGCACTCATCGTTTCTGTGATTTCAGGCGGTGCTGCTGATGGATGCAGAGAAGCGGATCCGTCTGCTGCAGTTTGTGACGGGCACGTCCCGCCTACCAATGAACGGATTTGCTGAGCTCTACGGTAAGCCCCGCCCCCATCTCCCCATACTCACAGTAGTAGTAGCTCGCTCACTTCAGAATGAAAATCTCCTGATTTACTCAACCGAGATGTTCCTCTCTTTCTTTCCTCAGTCGAAAAGAAATGAAGGTTTTTGAGGAAAACAGTGTCTTCAGTGACTTCAGTGAGGTCGACCCGTTGGACCCCATTGAAGTCCATTATATGACGAAACATCCTGGAGTGTTTTCCTCAAAAACCTTAATTTCTTTTCGACTAAGAAAAAGAAAGTCATGAATGTCTCGGATGACGTGTGGTTGAGTAAATTATCAGGAAATTTTTATTCTGAAGTGAAGTGTGTAGTGAAGCCTTTAATATTGATTTCCGTGCTTCACTGTATGGCGTTTGAGTTGGGTTGATGAAGTGAAGTGTTGTGTTTCTGCTGCTTCGGCAGGATCCAACGGGCCGCAGTTGTTCACCATCGAACAGTGGGGGACGAGAGACAAACTGCCCCGAGCACACACCTGGTGAGAGACCTGTCTATCTATCTATCTATCTATCTATCTATCTATCTATCTATCTATCTATCTATCTATCTATCTATCTATCTATCTATCTATCTATCTATCTATATACCTATCTGTCTGTCTGTCTGTCTGTCTGTCTGTCTGTCTGTCTACCTGTCTGTCTGTCTGTCTATCTATCTATCTGTCTGTCTGTCTGTCTATCTATCTATCTATCTATCTATCTATCTATCAATTCAATTTCAATTTCAATTCAAATTGCTTTATTGGCATGACTGTACATATTACAATATTGCCAAAGCTTGTAACACATAGCATAGTGAAGTCATCAATAAAAACAAAGTATTATAACAACTTAAATTGAAATGTACAAATTAAATTAATTGCAAAAAATAACAGTGTAACAGATTATAAATTCTATGAACGTTTGATACCACAGTGTTTTAACATATATATACACACATACACACATTACTGAGGGTCACTGTGGTGGACATTAGGGAGACACACTGAGGTCACACACACACACATTCACCTACTGTCTCTCAGGCTGTGGCACGCACACACGTATCTGGCAGCCAGTGCTGCGGTCTGTCCCTCTCCTAGTATTATCTTTATCTGCTCTACTTCAGTCATGGCTGTAAAGTTGTGTATAAGGTTATTAAGTTTTTTGAAGTAGAGGTCTCTGATCGAGCTGTATTTGTGACAGTGGAGGAGGAAGTGTGTCTCTGTTTCGATCTCTCCTGTCCTACACTGAACACACACCCTTTGCTCTCGGGGTAGCCAGCTCTTTCTGTGTCTGCCGGTCTCGATGGCTAGACTGTGTTCACTCAGCCTGTACTTGCTCAGGATCTGTCTCTGCTTTGTGTCTCTCACACTCTGGAGATATTCCTCCATTTCATAATTTGATTTCAGATTTCGATAGAATTGTAGTTTACTTTGTGTTTTGGTTTCCTGATCCCAATGTTCCAGATATGTATTTTTAGACTGTTTAGTAATTTGGTTTATTCTGATGTTCGTGTGAGGAGCAGTGCTGGTCTGAGACTGGTGAGTGTTAGTAGGGTTAGTCGAGTTAGTGAGTCTCAGGACCAGCTGACTGAGGAGACTCTTTTCGGGGTTCAGTTCTTGGGTCTGTAATGCTTTAAAATGTAGCGATTCTGTGGGACTTGATTTTAGATGCATCCAGAATTTGAGGGATCTTTTTTGCATATTAATAATCAATGGGAATCGGCCTAATTCTGCCCTACACGCATTATTGGGTGTTTTCCTTTGTAGTTTTAGTATCATTTTGCAGAATTCTGTGTGTAGGGCTTCTGTTGGATGTCTGTCCCATCTAGTGTAGCTCTGATCACTGAGTGGACCCCACACCTCACTTCCATACAGCGCAATGGGCTGAATCACACTATCAAAGATTTTACACCAGATTGGAATCGGTAATTCAGAGTTTTGGAATTTCTTCTTAATGGCGTATAGAGCTCTGCGAGCTTTATCTTTAAGAGCATTCACTGCCAGACTGAAACTCCCCGATGCAGTGATGACCAGGCCGAGGTAAGTGTACTGCATCGTGTGCTCTAGGCCGGTGCTGC